TGCGTTGGATGTGTGTGGGTCTCACCTGCTCAGCACGGAGAGTGCTTGGAGGGACCCTGGGCCTGTCAGCTGCAGAACCCCCCCCCCAAGGGCAAGTGAGGGGCTGCCACAGAGCCGGCAGAGGAAACCTCCCCTGCCTGTGGAGACAGGGCGGCTCTTTTCTTTGATCAGTGTGTCCTTTTCTGAGAGTGTGTTTGTCAAGTGCCAAATGCCTTTCTCGGGCAGGGCCAGGGGCCTCACTTCTCCAAACAACCCACCCTTCTGGTGCAGCCCATCCCTGGAGAGGAAGCAGGGGGGCCTGGCCAAGATCCTGTGGAAACCCCAGGCCGTCTAGAGCCGCCTCCCAATGTTCAGGCTTATGAGAAACTGCTGGGACCCCACCTCTCCCACCCTTCCTGAGGACCCTCATAAGGGTCTGTGCTGAGCCTGAGCCGAGCGGGGCTGTGGGCCTGAGGGAGCATATAGGCAAGGCCAAAGGTGGGGCATCAGTGGCGAGGCCAAAGGGGGAGGGCCCTGGCAAGCCTTCCAGGGACTGGGGTGGCAAAGTGCACGTTCAGCTAACCCGTAGCCTCAAGAAGGGCCAAAGAGCCCTGGTTGCCAACCTTTTCTGCTTTTCTTTCCAAATAAATGCATGCGTTATGCCTATCCCGATGGGCTCCATTTTCTTCCCGTTGGGCACATCGGAGACTTTGCCTTCGCTTGTGGCCACTGGAGAGCCTGGTTCAGACCATGGGCTGGAGACAAGGCAAGTGGCCGAGGGGACTTCAGGATGCCACCCTTGTCTGAAGGTGGCAAAGGACCAAAGCAGCAGGAATGCTGGGGAAATCCCTCTGCAGTGAGTGCAGGTATGGGGGGGAGGGGGAGGAAGGGTTGAGTGTGCCCATTGATGGCACCAAGTAACTTTCTCCACATTAGGATTTCAACGCAAGCCAACCCAGGATCCTTTCTCTGAGGACCTCATCATGTGTGTGTGAGCGTGGGGGTGTGTATGTATCAGTGATATCTCTGTGGTGTTGCAACACCCCCTGGAGAAGCCCACGGCAGGGACCTCCAAAAGCAAATTGTTAATACTTCAGAGCAAAACAAGAATCTGGCAGAAGGAACTGAGGGGGCAGCAAAGAAAGGCTGAAGGTAGGAGAGGGGAGGGGTTCTGAAAGGGGAAGGGGGCAGGGAGGCTGCTTGGCTACTTCATTTTCCAACCTGCCCTCTCCTCCCACCCGCTGCCCCCTTCAAGGCTTTGGCAGCTTCTCTCAGCCTGGACAGGGCAGAAGGCCGATTTCCAGGGGCTTCTGAAGGGGAGGGGCCCAGCCCTCCTCCTGCCCCTTTCACCTCCCCACAGAAAGAAGAGCTACCAAGAGGAGCCCATCCCAGCCCTGCTCGGACCTCCCNTGCGTTGGATGTGTGTGGGTCTCACCTGCTCAGCACGGAGAGTGCTTGGAGGGACCCTGGGCCTGTCAGCTGCAGAACCCCCCCCCCAAGGGCAAGTGAGGGGCTGCCACAGAGCCGGCAGAGGAAACCTCCCCTGCCTGTGGAGACAGGGCGGCTCTTTTCTTTGATCAGTGTGTCCTTTTCTGAGAGTGTGTTTGTCGAGTGCCAAATGCCTTTCTTGGGCAGGGCCAGGGGCCTCACTTCTCCAAACAACCCACCCTTCTGGTGCAGCCCATCCCTGGAGAGGAAGCAGGGGGGCCTGGCCAAGATCCTGTGGAAACCCCAGGCCGTCTAGAGCTGCCTCCCAATGTTCAGGCTTATGAGAAACCGCTGGGACCCCACCTCTCCCACCCTTCCTGAGGAGGACCCTCATAAGGGTCTGTGCTGAGCCTGAGCCGAGCTGGGAGGTAGGCCTGAGGGAGCATATAGGCAAGGCCAGAGGTGGGGCATCAGTGGCGAGGCCAAGGGGGGAGGGCCCTGGCAAGCCTTCCGGGGACTGGGGTGGCAAAGTGCACGTTCAGCTAACCCGTATCCTCAAGAAAGGCCAAAGAAGCCCTGGTTGCCAACCTTTTCTGCTTTTCTTTCCAAATAAATGCATGCGTTATGCCTATCCCGATGGGCTCCGTTTTCTTCCCGTTGGGCACATCGGAGACTTTGCCTTCGCTTGTGGCCACTGGAGAGCCTGGTTCAGACCATGGGCTGGAGACGAGGCAAGTGGCCGAGGGGACTTCAGGATGCCACCCTTGTCTGGAGGTGGCAAAGGACCAAAGCAGCAGGAATGCTGGGGAAATCCCTCTGCAGTGAATGCAGGTATGGCAAGAGGGGGGAGGAAGGGTGGAAGGGGGAGGGTTGGATGTACCCATTGATGGCACCAGGTAACTTTCTCCACATTAGGATTTCAACGCAAGCCAACCCAGAATCCTTTCTCTGATGACCTCATCGCGTGTGTGTGCGCATGTGGGGTGTGTGTGTGTGTCAGTGATATCTCTGTGGTGTTGCAACACCCCCTGCAGAAGCCCCCGGCAGGGACCTCCAAAAGCAAATTGTTAATACTCCGAAGCAAAACAGGAATCTGTGGCAGAAGGAACTGAGGGGGCAGCAAAGAAAGGCTGAAGGTAGGAGAGGGGGGGGGGTGTTCTGAAAGGGGAAGGGGGCAGGGAGGCTTCTTGGCCACCATTTTCCAGCCTGCCCTCTCCTCCACCCACTGCCCCCTTCAAGGCTTTGGCAGCTTCTCTCAGCCTGGACAGGGCAGAAGCCGCTTCTGAAGAGGAGGGGCCCAGCCCTCCTCCTGGCCCCTTTCAGCTCCCCACAGAAAGAAGAGCTACCAAGAGGAGCCCATCCCAGCCCTGCTCGGACCTCCCTCCCCCCCCCCCGCCCCTTTCTCGGGCTGGCATGTCCCGGCCCCTGTGCCAAACCTGGCTTTGCCCATTCCCCCCCACCTCCTTTGTGCTGCTACTCCTGCTGCTGCTGGCTCAGCCTAAGGCCGGATCTGAGTTGGGGGGACAGAGAGGGGGGGATGCCCTTCCTTGCTCTGCCTCCCCCTCTCCCCCAGAGCTGCCTTCTCGCCCGGGCTTTTCTGCCCCCCCCCCAGAGCCATGCAGGCTGCCAAGCAAGAAATTCGGAGGGAGACCCAGCAACCTTGGCCGAGGGCACCTTGCCAGTCTGGCCCTTCCTGAGAAGAAGGGGCATGTTCTGAGGGACTTCTCACGAAAGGCTGCTGCGGGGAGAAAGGGGTCTCTTTCCCCCCCCCCCCAGCATTGAAGGCGGCCAAGATCTCCCCACCCCCACCCCCTCCATGCACCAGGCGGCTTCCCTGCGCCTGGTGGCCTGCCTTTATCCCCCTGCCTGGCGAGGCTGGCGAGTTTCTGCCTGGCGACGGTTTCCCTGGGCAGCAGCTGCCATTCCGGCTCCTCCCCCCAAACACATACAAAGCCCTTCCCAGCCAGGGTTCGGGGCAGCCGCTCCGCCGACCATGGCCCCGACGGCGTTTGCCCCCAAACTCAGCCAGGTCCTGATGACCCCAGAGCCCCACTACCTCCCCGGGTAAGAGTCTTCCCGAGCCCCCCACCCCGGCTCCCCTGGCCGTTCTGCGGGCCTGGCTTTGGCGCCTCCACGGCAGTGGGGCCCAGGGGGACGAGCCTGCCTGGGGCTCCCGCAACGGGGAGGCCGGTCGGCAACGTGCAGGCAGGGCCCTGCTGGAGGGGATCTCTTCCAGGTCGCGCAAACAGCCCCCCCCATCCACCCACCCACCCCTCCGCCGGTGCTCTGGGCGCAGACCCTCCATAGCAACCCCGGGGGCGAAGCTCTGCGTGCGAGTCCTGGGCGGGCGGATTCCTCGCGTGTGCACGAATGGAGGAGGAGGAGGAGGAGGAGGAGGAGGGCGCGAAAGCGGCGAGGAAGAAAGGCGCCACTTTCCTTCCGCCCGCGGAATCCGCCGCGAAGGCGGCGGGGACCCCGCAACACCTTCCGGCCGGAGCCAAGAGCCCGAATTCAGCGGGGCAGTGGCGGCGGCGGCGGGGGGGGGCTCTGCGCTCCGGCTCTCGGCTGGCTTTCGGGCAAGTTCAACGGGGCCAGTCTGAGGCCGGCCGCTGAGCTTAGCGGGGCTGGCGGGGGGGGGGGCGCAGAGCCGGTGAGCCCGGGAGCGCCGACGGGCCGGAAAGTTGACGGCGGCTTTGGTGTGGGGGGGTGTCTCCTCTTCCGCTCCTGTCCTTGCAGCTACGGCGGCTACTGCCCCCGTTACAAATTCACCCTGGGGCGGACTTACGGGAAGCTCACCTCGCAGCTGCTGGCCGCCCCCAGCCGCTCCGGCCGGCTGCTCCTGCAGCCCAACTGCTCCCTCTGCGCCGCAAAGGAGAGACCGGGGCACGGCCGGGGGTCCCGGGCCAAAGGCTGCAGCGCGATCCCGGGTTACACGGGTAAGTGGCGCTGGGAGGTCGGGTCTCCCCCAGCTGAGAGTGTCAGGCGGGCCAGCTGAAGAATTTGGGGGGGGGGCTGACAAGACATTTCTCGATCCCTTGAAGGAGGGAGTTGGGATGGTGGGGACTCAGCAAAGCAAAGCAAGGGGGGAGGGAAAGGTTACACTGGGTGTCCTGGTGGGGGGTAGCCTAGACACAGCCTCCCCCCCCCATCAATTTTGAGCACCTCAGATGGGGCCAGAGCTCCCAGTGCCGGCAAGCCAGTCCTCCCTCTATCTGAGAGGGTGGGGAAAGGGCACCAGCCCACCACCTGTGCCCCATGGTGGTGGCACTGCCCAGAGCAGAGAAGCCAGGTACCAATTGCTAGCTGAGCGCAGTGCCTTCCCGTGGCCTCACTTTGCCTCCTTCCGGCTCTCCTGTGTCTCCTGGCAGGATTCATCCCCAGGGCCCAGCACCATTTTGCCAAGACCTACGGAGAAATCTGCAGGCAGGCTTGGCTGGAGTTTATGCCCCAGCAGGAGCAGGGGGACCGTGGCCGGGGCCAAGCCAGGGAGGCGACCGAAGCCCTGCAGCTGGAAGGCAGAGTAAGTGACAGGCAGCGCAGTTGCGGGCCAAGCGGTGGGGCTGGGGGCTTCCAGAGCATCTCCTGGAGAAGGGCTGAATCCCCTCACTGAGGGGCTCTCCTCCAGCCCCAGTTGTGAGGAGGAGAGGTCCGTGGCATGCCTGCCCATTCCAGAGGGGGCTTGGGGTAGAGACAAAAAGGGGCACAGCCTAAGCCAGGGGTAGGCGATCTTGGCTCTTTTATGACTCGTGGACTTCAACTCCCAGAATTCCTGAGCCAGCCATGCTGAGGGGAAAGGGAGAGGTTTCCAAGCTGAGCCATGCTGGCTCAGGAATTCTGGGAGTTGAAGTCCACAAATCATGAAGCGGCCTAGGCCTAGGCCAGGGGTAGGCCACCTTGGCTCTTTTATGACTCATGGACTTCAACTCCCAGAATTCCTGAGCCAGCCATGCTGAGGGGAAAGGGAGAGGTTTCCAAGCTGAGCCATGCTGGCTCAGGAATTCTGGGAGTTGAAGTCCACGAGTCATAAAAGAGCCAAGGTTGCCTACCCCTGGCCTACTCTCCTCCCAAGGCTTGTGCAAATGAAGGCTTCCCCTGTCCTTCACACCCCAGCAGAGGGTCCCCAGCTGGGTCATGGCTTGAGTAGGGGGACATGAGGAGGGTGCTTTAGTCTCCCACCATGGGTCAAAACCTCTCCCTCCCTCCCTCTCCTTCCCTTCCTTCCTTCCTTCCTTCCTCCCTCCCTCCCTCCCTGATGCCTTTTGTGTCTCTCTGCATGGGTGTCCCCCAGAACAACAATGAAAAACAAAGAGCATTTGAACCCTTCAAGAGACCTATGCTAGGAGCTGCCTCCAATCTTGCGGGCAGGCAGTGCATGGGGCCACAGGGTGCTGCTCTTCTGGGGCCCTTCTTGGGGCCCTCTGCCTCCTCTACCAGATGCTGCTTCACTGGGAGGAGCTGGCAGGTGTCCAGAGACTCACAGCTGGCTTTGCTCTGCTTCTAGCCTCTCCCTGCCCTGCCCAAAGCTGGGACTGCTGCTGCCGCCGCCGCTGCCACCCTGGCTTTCCGGGCCCCAGGAACGCCCCTTGCGCTGGAGAGAACCTTTGTTTCAGGTCAGGCTCCAGAGGAGCCCCGAGGGGAGGAGGGAGCAAGCATGTCCCAGAGAGCGTTTTCGCTCAAGTCTCGCAGGAGAGAGGCCAACATCTGTGCCCTTAGGGCTTTTTCCTTGCCCTCCCTCTGGCGTGGCACGAGTTGCGGCCTCTACTGCCCCCCTTCCTTGCTGCCACAGCCTACTTAGAGCCAGGGCTTGCGAGTCTCTTTGGGGGTTTCAGGACCTTGTTTGTTAGGGCCAGGGGCACAGGGTGCCAGGGTTTGTGGCTCTGCAGGCAGAGAGGTCAAAGGCACCCTGGGAGCAAAGGGGCTGGCCGAGAAGACCGAGTGGGAGTAAATTCAGAGGCACCAGTTAAGGGTATTTACTTGGAAGCAATTTGTGGAAATGTGCTAGCTTGCCTTCTGAGAAAGAGGCAGTTACCAGGAACAATTGCGGGTCCAGCGGTATGTGTTTGGGGGTTCAAAAGTGAGAGGGAGTCTTATGTCTAGGGGAGCTGACACTTCAGAAACACCTGGCTGGCGGGAACCAGCCAAAGCTGCTGCTGAGCCCAGATTGCCCGCTTGTGGGAGGGCCGGGGCTGGGCTCCCTCGCAGGAGGGGCCTGCAGGTTTAAGCTCCCCAACTTTGTTGCGCAGGCTTCACCGGCTTCGTGCCTCGCCTCCAGTTCCTGATTGGAGCAAGCTACCCCATTCTTGCCCGGCGGGCAACAATGGAGTTTGATGAGATGCTGCACAAAACAGGGCAAGGCTCTTTGCAGAGGGGGGATCCCCTCCCACCCCTGGCCAAGACGTACCCCACGGACCGGGGCCTCCTGCCCCACTACAGAGGCTACGTGCCAGGTGAGTTCCTTTCCCCTCACTTGCCCACCCCCGTCCTTTGGATTGCACCTCCCCACCATACCCTGCATGGCCCTGGCATCTTTCATCCGGCTCTGGGCAAGTTGACCTCCTGCCAGAGAAGCAGCCCCAGCACCGGAGGTGGGATTTTACTCTGCCGCACCTCTGATGCCAGAGATGGGAACTGGCAGGGGTGGCAAGCATTCACAGTCCCGCTGCGCCCCTCCCAGTCTGTGCCCGTGGAATGAAGCGCTGCTGTGCCACAACTGGCCAGGCAGAAACTCCAGGGCTCGGCCGGCTTGCTCGCACCCTCCGGGCCCCCTTCTGAGCAGTCTCTTCCACAGCCCCCTTGAGAGGCCCATAAAGAAGATTCCTGAAGAAAAGGATCCAAATCCACCTTTGCACAGATTCCCACCAGCCCAGCTGCAGGGGGTGCCAGGGATTCTCTGGGCGGATCCCCTGAGCTGCAGGCAGTCCAGCTATGGGTTGGGGGCCCTGAGACACGCAGCCGGTTCACTCAGTTGGGACAACAGCCACTAATCCAGTTAAACCACCTCACCAATGGGCTGGACAGCCCAGTGCCACACCAACCAGAGGCTGCCCACTCGGGAGGATGGAGGGTCCTCACCCTGGGCCTCCAGAACGTGCCAGAATCCACAAGCCCCTGCAGGCCCACTGAGGCTGACCAGCTCAGCAGCATTCTCCGGAGGGCAAGGAGAATCCTGCTTTTCAGGCCCCCCCCCCTCAGTTCCTTGTCTCAGAGGCCTTCGGACTGTCCAATTTTGACTTGACTGTTCACAAAATGCTGCTAAGGGAATAGGGGTCGTTTAACCCAGAGCCCCTAGACTGCGGTTGTCCAACTTTGGCAGCTTTAAGACTTGTGGTCTCCATGTTGGCTGGAGAATTCTGGGAGTTGAAGTCCGCAGGCCTTAAAGTTGCCAAGATTGGACACTCCTGCCCCAGACTAACTGGATTCAGAAGGACACAGCTGCAGCTCACAACACTTTTGACTCAATGAAACAAACTGAACTTCGGCACTCTGGATTATAGTAACTAGATAAGCCTCACGTGTGACTGTGATCATTGTGGCTTCCCTAGAAAACCCGTCTTGGGTGGACGCCCCATAGAAAACGAGGGCTTGTCTGCTGTGCCTAATTCTTTCTAGAATGCAACCCCACATTGGTGGCCATGAATTCTGTCCTGGGGGGGGGTGTCCATGCCCCTTCTGCCTGTGCCAGGGAAGTCGGCTTCATTGTTTTCTTCCCCCTTGGTAGGCACCTGGCAGCAGTGAAACAAAACGCACACACAACGCCAGAGCTCTGCTTATGCAGGCAGAACACTATTCTGGTTGTTCAGCAGAAGGGGGGGGAAGGGGCCCCTTCTGGTGGGCTGCAGGCACACAGAGGAGAGCGTTGTGGGCAGCAGGCCCTTAGAAAAGCCTCAGTGCCCCATTTTTGGCAGGAGAGGAAGCTCCGTTCTGCCAGCAACACATGGCTGGAGTCTGTCCCCCTGGCGTTTTCCATGGCTTCTGCCAAGAAGGGCTTTGTGCAGCTGGGTTGGTGGGTGTGAGGACCTCATTCTGCACGGCTACTTCTGGGCACGTGACCAGCAGGAGTGTCCCTGGCAGCCTTGCAGCTGATTTGCTCCTCATGGGCCCCTCCTTCCTGCTCCATCCAGAACCACCACCCCCCGCTGGGTCTGCAACCCCTCAGCTGGTCAGATCTTAGACAGAGGTTGGGGCTCCTTCAGGAACCCCAACGGACCCAGCAGTCATAGACCCCTTCATGCTGCCCCCTTTTGCTCAGGCGGCTGTCCAAGCAGACTCTTCTGGATATGCGTACATTCCTCCAGAGGGAGGGGGGAAGGGGCTTTCCCCAGTAGGTGTTGCTGAGGGAGGAGAAACAGAGGGGGAAATCCCCAGTCCCATATGCAGCCAGTGCCTCCCCCCCAACCCGTTCCCAAGGCAGGAGCCACGTTTGTGCCCACCTGCAGCTCACGGACTGGGGAAGTGCGCCTCAGTGCGCTGTCAATCACATGCCCACCATTATGTCCATCTGCCAGCCTCCTTCGGCTTCCCCTTCAGAGGCCCCATGCCTCCTTCACAGTTTCCTTTGCAGACCCCCGGGCACTGATGGCATTAGTTGTGGCTGCGGATTTGCCCACAATGGTCACTTCTTCCCTCCTCTCTCTCTCTCTCTCTCTAAACCCAGGTTACAAGTTCCAGTTTGGCCACACCTACGGCCATCTCACCCATGACGCCCTGGGCCAAACCACCCTTGAGAAGCAGGTGCTGGATGTCACACAGTAGGGGAATCCGTGGCTCCCTCCCCAGCACCCCTTCCAAGGCCCACCTCACACTCCTGGGTGGGCCGTGTCCGTGTAAGGCAGGCCCTGGGGTGCCGGTGCCAGAGGCTCTCCTGACAGACCCGGCAGCTGGTGGGTGCGAAAGAGGTGGAACGAAGGAGGTGGAAGTGGAGCCTGTTCTACTTCAGTGGAGGCCAGCTGTACCCTCTCACCACATGGGCACCAACTGCCTTCTCCCTTCGGGTGGCATCTGGATCCCCCTCTGACCTTCTGGGGCACAAAGGGCCTTTCACCAGGCTGATACAGGCCCTGGCAAAAACCCTCCTCACGATGTTAACCCACGCTTTGGTGATCGCAATCCATTATAGGCGGGGCTGCCCTCGATGATAACTAGACCCCATTGTGGTTGCTGCATTGGAGTGCTGTGGGAGGGGATGTGTCCAAGGCGGTGCCGGCCATGGGTCTACCCTGGCAGCACAGTCCTCCCACCTCCCGGGGACAGCCACGGAGCACAGCGAGTTTGTTGGGAGGACACAATTCAACAGCAGTTCAAACCATGGCTTCCCAGGCTCTTAAGCCAGAATGGTGGCACAAGAAACAAGCCAACTCCATGGCAAACTGCATCATCGCAACCTGTGGGGTTCACTCGCACATTTTAGGTGGCAGCTGGGAGCACACCATCTGAGTGCCCAGGATCAGAGGCCCCTCCCTGCAGGCCCCCAGCCAGTTCTCTGCCAGCTGATCCCTGGCACCTTTGCCATGTCTCCTTGCTCTGCCCAAAGGGTGCTGTCCATGGAGAAGGAACCCTTTACAGCAGGGCTCCCCAACAGTGGCAGCTTTACGACTTGTGAACTTCAACTCCCAGAATTCCTCAGCCAGCCAGGGTGGTGGGCACCCAGGGGAAAAAAAGGGGGGGCTGCTCTTTATCTGGACTTGGGTGAAGGGTATAAAGGCCATTTTTCTTGGAAATAAGCGACATCCAGTTGTGGCAGGTTCACCCAAGCCTAACCTGGTCAGATAAAACACCAGGCCTGCCAACCCTAGTGGGTTTTATGCCCAAGCAGCCTGCTGGGTTAGTTTAGGGCAGTGGTGGTGAACCTATGGCACGTGTGCCATAGGCAGCACTCAGAGCCCTCTCTGTGGGCATGCATGCCGTCACCCCAGCCCCGCCTCCCCTAGCAGCCCCTCTGGAGGAGAATCGCCCCAGGGTGCAGCCGACACGGAGCAGCGCAGCAAAGGACATAGTCGGGCAGCAGGGATACAACTCCACCCTCGCACCCCATAGCGTGCAGATGATGCTGCGGGGTGTGGGCGGAGGGTGTGGTTGCCATGGTGCTGCAGGGCTGCCTGGGTGATCTGCTGCGGCCCATGGTGGCGGTGCGTGTCCCTGCAGGTGGATGGGGCAGGGGGCGGAGCAGGTAGGGTGGGAGGCAGAGCGGGGTGTGTGGTTTTTGGGTACTTGGTCTCTAAAAGGTTCGCCATCACTGGTTTAGGACAAATTTGATTCCAAGAGCTTGAAAAAGGAGTGAGTTCAGTTGCCAAGGTGGGCCCATTGGCACATTCATTGGGCAGGGATCCTGAACTGCTTGCGGCAGAGTGAAGGCCCCCTCCCTCCTTTGCTCCCCCTTTCTCCAACTGCTACAGCACATTCGGGGCACGTAAAGGCTGACCTGCCTTCCTTGGGGTTCCTCAAGTGACCTCTCCAAAGGGACAGCAGCCCAGCTAATTCCTTCTGAATGAAGCATCAAAAGAGCTTAATTGTGTAAATGGGAGGGAGTTTTGGGGGGTTAGGGTTTTGAGGAAGGGGGAGACAACCAATGTCTTGGCCCTGCAAAGAAGCCGGGAGGGGGGGAATCATCAGGCACATCTGTCAAGGGAGCTCGTAATCAGCACCTTTTTTATTAATACGTGTCATAAATAAAGAAATAAATAAAGGCGAGACACCCTGTTCTAACGCCGGAAGTATAAATTAAATATGGCGCCACCCTCGCAACACCGGCAGGACTGACGCCTGCATTCTCATCCGTGCCCTCTGAGGGGACGAGGCGGGCAGGCAAGAGCCCCACCCAGCCCAGCCCCAAATACTGACTGGCACTGCCCACTGGCTGTGGGGGAGGGGAGCCCCCTTCCTCCCCAATGGTCAGAACACAACCCAGGAAACAGCGAAAGCTCCGGCCCCTCCCCCACAAAAACCCTCTCCCCCATCTTGTCAAGAGGGTCCACCGACACCACCCGGCCTGTGCTACGAGGACCATTTTGTTGGGTGCCCCCTTCTGTCTTCAAAGCCTCCACCCTCGGTGGGCAAGCTGGCTGGTCACCCACTGTTCTCCGACTGGTCAGCTGCTCCTGCAGAGACCGACGATGACCGGCCCTGTCCACACACACATGCACAGAGGCCGCGCTGCTCCCATCAGCGTCTCGCTTCCCCCGCCCTCCCTCCCCCTGCCCAACGTTAATACAGGTTAGCCCACAGTCCCCCCAAAGTCTGGAGCGGGCCCCGAGGGCCCATCACAGGGGCCCCATTCTCGTTTGGACCAGGCGTGGGTGCCGTGGAGAAGAGGAAGGGGAGAGGCGCATGCAAGGGAAAGTTTGGCCACAGGAGACCCCCGGCAGAGAGGAGTAGCCCCCCCTCCCCCGCCCAGGGCAGGCAAGAGAAGCTGAGTCCTTGGCCGAATCTTGGCGAGGGGCCTGTTGGCCGGCTTGGCTCCTGGGCACCATCAGGAATTGCCTGCCCATCAATAATCGGCATCCTCCAGGTGGGTGACGTACATGATTGGCACCAGCCCGCTCTCGGCTCCCTCCCTGCGGCTGCAGCGGAGCCAGTCGGCGTCCACCCTGCCCAGCACCCGCAGGACATCTCCCTTCTTGAAGCTCAGCTGCCCGGCCTCGGTGGCAATGTGGTGGCAAAGCGCCTTCACCGCCCTGGGGAAAAGAGAGCATGCCGAAAAGGCTGGGCGCTTCTCCACCCAGCCCTGGAGATGCAGCGGGCAGCCTGAACCGGCTTCCTTCCCACCTAGGGGGGAATCTTTGGTTTCCCCCTAAAGGTTTTACTACATTGATACCGCTGCCCCCAACCATCAAGGGTCTTGCTGACTGCAGGGGAGCAACTGGGTCCCCCCACCCCAGCCAGGCTAAAATCCAGCAGCCAGTCCCGGCCTTGCCCCCACTTGTCACTCCCTCCATTGTTCTCACACACCCTGCAGGGGGTCTCTTCCTCCAAGGGCCAGAGGCTCAGGCAGCCCTTCCTGAAAATGCCTGCCAGCCAGCTGTGCCCACCCTCTTCTGTCAGGGAACGGGGATGGCATGGTGCCAGAAGTTACCCCAGTCAAGAGCCACGCCAGCGCAAAAGAAGTCCGGCCAGCAGAATCTGGAGTGAGACTGGCTGTCCCATCCTGCTTCTTGGCAGGCTCAGGAGCAGAGCGCATAAGGGCCAGCAGCCCGCTCCCTCCCTTCCACAGATCCGCTGCCCAAAGGGGTTGGGAGGCCAGCCTAGGACAGCCACATAGCATCAGCCTGCAATGGGGTCTATGGCAAAAGGGGGCTTGCCCAGGGTCTGCCAGCCCCAGAGCAGAGCCAGGCAGGTTGGGTCATCCCAGCACACCAGCCCCGGCCGCAGGGCACTCACCATGGGGCACCAGGGGATGCCCTCACATCCAACGGCTGCCCCTTGGCTGTGGGCAGCTGCTTGGGCGCCGTCTCGGTCTCTCGCCACACGCTTGCGCCCACTGTCTGGGCCATCAGCTGGAAGACGGAGCGGTCCAAGCTCAGCCAGCCGGAGGGCAGCCTGCAGAGAAGGCAGCAGTCAGGCTGGGGGAGCAGTGGCCACTGCAGTTTTGCCTGGGAATGGCAGGGGGCCTCCAGGTGAGGTCCCCCCAGCACATCTGCCCTGAGCAGCTGGGCAACGCTGCCTCCCATCCAGCCTAGCTCAGGACACAGATGCCCACAAAGCAAACCGGGACAGGGCGCAAACCGTCTCTTTATCGTCGTCTCCTGTAAGAATTCTCTCTTATGGTGGGCCAGAAGGACCCCACTGCCCTGCCCTAGTCGCAATTTAACAAGGGGGAGTTAGAAACCAGCCCCCCTTCCTGCTGCAACCCTCCTATCGCTCCCTCCCTCCTAAGACCTGCTGTTAGAAAGAACTGCGCAGGCCGGAGAGTCCAGGGTGCAGCTTTCAGTCTGGAAGTCAGCCATCCTCAGTTCATCCCACCTGAGGGCCCAGGCTGTCCCACCCCGCCCCCAAACAATGCCTCCAAGGCAGAGCCCAACCCCGACCGCCAGCGACAGTACCTGTTGGCCTGTTTGGGCTCCTTGGGCGCCTGGCGGGAACCAAAGAGGTGCGCCCACTTGGGCTGACCGCTGCTGGGGACGTGGGCGGCGTGCTGCTCCTTCCCCAGGGCAGTTGCCTGGTCCTGCTCCCTGCTGTGCTTCAGCTCTGCCAACACTGCATCCGGGGGGCTGCCCATCCAGAAGGGCCGGCCCTTCTCCTTGGCTTCCTCCCTGGCCGGAGGGCCTGGCTTCCAGGGCGGCTTTGCCTCCTCAGCCGGGAGCCTCTCTCTGACTGGGGGGGCTTCTGTGGGTGGGCAGGCCTCTGCCCCCTCCACCACCCCCTCCCTCGGGGGAGGGCCCCTCCCAGCCTCTGCCGGCCTGGCCCCCGCCCTCTTCTTGCGCTCGTGGTGGGCGAGGCGGGCGCCCTCCGGAGAGTCCTGGATGTAGACCTGGGAGCTCTGGGTGAGCTGCAGCCACCAGCTGGCCTGCCTGTCCTTCTTCAGCTCCGGGCCCCCCTTGGCCAGCTCCGCTGCTCTCTCCAGGGGGGGCGGGCCCCGGGAGCCCTCGCCAGCCCGCTGGGTGCCACGGGTGTGCATGAGCTGTAGGGTAGAGTGGGCAGAGAGCAGCAGGCCCTGCTGGCCTCGCAGGAGCTCTTTCTGCTGCTGCTGCCACCTGCCCACCTGCAGCAGGTGGTGCTCGAAGAGCAGGTCCAGGCCAAAGGGCAGCAGGGAGAGCGGCTGGAGCAGCAGCAGGAGCTCCTCGAAGAGGCCCTGGCAGGCCCCGTGCGCGAGAGGCAGGAAGCCTGTCGGCTGGTAGTGCGCCTGCAGCACATCTGGGAGGGGGGGAAGAAGGGCACCGTCACCAGGGCCCCCTGGCAGCTCAAGCATTCAGAACCCCGGCCAGGCCAGCCAAAGGAGATCAGGAGGCTCGGGGCTGCTCAGCTCCACCTACCATCCCACCCCCTGCGCCCTGCGTTCCTGCCTTCTTTCAGAAGCTCAGGAAGGGCCACGTGGCCAAGTCCACTGGCATGGCAGGGGTCTGTATGTCAAGAGCGGAAGAGCCTCCTGAGGGCATCTGCCACCACCTGGGTGACACCCCTGAGCCTTCCCCAGCACACAGCCCTCCCCCACGCAGGTCAGGAGCAAAGGACCTACCCTCGTGGTTGTAGAGGTGGTTGAACCAGAACTCCAGGGACCGGATGCTGTTGGTGGAGAAAGCAGAGAGAGGGTGAGAACAGGCAGGAGTGCCGGGCCAGGGCTGGGTTACAAGAAGAACCATTGGGGGGACACAAGCCAGGCACTGGGCCACATGATGTTAATGGTGATGGTGTTGGCCTAGGAACCAGGAGGCGGTGAGTTCTAGTCTCACCTTAGGCAGGAAAGCCGCTGGGTGACTTTGGGGGCAGCCCCTCTCTCTCAGCCCAACCCACTTCACAGGGCTGTAGTTGGGTGGAAAACAGGTGGCAGGACTGCTAGGTATGTTTGCAGCCTTGATTTGGACAAAAAAAAAAATATGTGGAAAAATGATAGCAGGATGAGAATCCAAGAATAGAATGATGGTTGGCACTGCAGTTGTATGTAAGCTACGTATGCAACTGGATGCTTGCTTAAGAATAAAGAAGAACTGTGGCACGTTGAAGAACAGAGTCAAATGAAGCTCTGCATCTTGACTTAAAAAAATCACAGTTTGGGGAAGAGCGACCTCCAAGGACAGTCAGTCTGGACCAAGGACGGAGGCTGCTCACGTTGCATTATGGAAAACTGGAAACCTCGTGTGGCGCCACCTCCCTCAAACAGAGCGCCTCGACCGACGTCCAGGCACTGCTGGCCTCCCTCACCTGGGGCTCCTGACACCACTTGCCAGTTTTCCTTTCCTGCCATGGAGCCTCTCGGCCCTGCCTGTCAGAGCCGCCTTGGAGCAATATGGAGTTGGGGCAGATTCGGTCCTTTTAACTGCCTACCCCATGTTAGTACAAAATCCTACTTCGCCATTTTAGGTTCAGGAGAAGGCTGATAGCTAAAGGAGGCTCCCTCATTTCTGGTGTCAGCCTTTTCTCCCTTCCAGCGTTCTGGGCCTCTCACTGGTAGGCTTTAACTCCCAGAATTCCCCAGTCAGCATGGCTGTGTTAGGGTTAAGGTATGGCTGGCTGGCTGGCTGGGGAATTCTGGGAGTTGAAGTCCACCCATGTTCAAGTTGCTGAGGTTGAGAGAGACTTCTCTAGGACAGTGGTGGCGAACCCATGGCACGGGTGCCAGAGGCGGCACTCAGAGCCCTCTCTGTGGGCACGCACGCCGTTGCCCCAGTCCTAGGCCTTCAGCTGGGTTTTATAAAACCTTTTTGCTTTAGGCCTCCACCGCCGTGTGCAAAAAAAAAAAAAAAAGTTCAATCAATCAATTTCAACTTCTCGCGGGAAAAAAAAAGTACTTGCAAAGTTGGAATTGATTGATTGAACTTTTTAGTCCCACCCAGTCTGCCGTTACCACTGCAGCCATGCCCACCCAATGGGCCACGCCCACCCAATGGGCCACGCCCAGCCAATGGGCCACGCCCAGCCAATGGGCCACGCCCAGCCAATGGGCCACACCCACCCGGCACTCGACGATGCGTGAGTTTTGGGTTGCAGTTTGGGCACTCAGTCTCTAAAAGGTTCGCCATCACTGCTCTAGGAGGACCCCTCCCTCACGCTGCTTCCTTCCCGGAAGCAAAGCAACGCTCCCCACCTCCCTGTCCTTGCCGCAATGGGGCGGGCGGAAACAGCCCTGCTTACTTGAGGAGGCCGAAGATGAAGGCGTTGAAGCGCATGCTGTGGCTGGTGAGCTCCGGGTACTGGTTGACACGGCTGTAGAGGCTGTGCAGGATTTTCGTCGAGGGTCCTGCAAAAGAGGGGGGCATCAGAAAAGCAGGCAGGGTGCCAGGTCATGGCCACTGTGGCTCCCTTCAGTTATGGCTTCAGTTATGGGAGCCCGCAGTCCCTCAGGTCCAAAAGGGTAGCCCCAGAGTGCACCTCCAAACCAGTATTCCCCCCCCGCTGCTCCCACTGCCTCTGATTGGCGACCGATTCTCTTTTAAGCAGCTGAGGGGCAGGACAGATCAACCCTCTGTCATGGTTCCGATTAACGAAACACTTCAAAGAACTTCCAGGCATTGTTTATCCTAAAAAGTCTTTAATCGTGTAACAAAGTGTCGGCACAGCATGGAGGATGCCAAGATCTGAATTCCCCTCCCCTGAGCACATAATATTCCAGCATATTCCCCTCCTCTAATTTGCAGTCATAAATCACGTTCTCCAATTAGTTTGAAGGGCAAAGTTTCCCTTCCTTCTGTAGCCAGCCGGTTTCTTATCTTAACTAATCCCCACACACATTCTTTCTCCTCCCCTCCCAGCATCATCTAATTTAACTCTAAAAATGCCACAGAGCTTGTACAGAGAGTGGCTGCCTTCATATTTTGTCAAAGCAAGAACATCCAATGTTAGCAGCGTTGACACCCTCCTTTGCTGGCACTCTGACAAGCCTACCTGCTTTGCAATGCCACAGGTGCCACGGACAGCCCTCACCCCCGTCCCCAGGCTGAGGGATACCAGCTTCTTCCTTTGGGTCAGGCCCGCAAGCTGAGCAGGCAAGGACTGGCCAGTGCTGGGAAGGAGACCGGGGCCTTCCCAGGGTGGGAAGGAGAGCAGGCAACCCTCGGAGGCCCAGACTGAGCCTCCCAGCAAAAGGCAGCCTTGAGGGTCCTGATTGAGCCTGGAGGTGCCGGAGGGTGGAAGGCCGGATCCCAGAGCTCCCTACCAAGCTGGGTGGAGGCCTCCACGATGCTCCAGGGGACGTTCCGCCTCTGGCCAACGATCACGTCCAGCACGTAGGCCTTGAGGCCATCACTCAGGACATCCCGGATGGCTGGACACAGGTACTTCAAGACGAGATGCCCCACGTTGGGGCTCACCGAGCTGTTCCCCAGTTTGGCCTGGAGGAGAGAGATCAAATGGTGGGAGCCACCCCTGGCCTTATCCCCCACACCAGCCCTCCCAGCCCCTCCGGGGTAAAAACGTGCCTTTCCTCTCCCCCTTCCCCCTGCAGGACTTCAGCAGGAACAACGCAGAAGGTGGGGGTTGATTGGCAGGTAAAGCTCCACCCTTCCTTTCAAAAGGAGAAACAAAGAAGCACCCAGGACCCCAGCAGCAGCCCCCACCCTTCCCCACACCTTTGCTTGGCTGGAGGCTTTGGAGTGGCGCTGCTGTTCAACGAACCTGCCTCGGTCACAAGGTGTGCGGTCCAGTGGGGAGTGGGACCCTCCCTGGACTGGCCCCCAGGCAAACCCCAATGGGCTCGGCACCAGGGACAGGATAGCTTTCCAGGCAAGTGAGTGGAGGTGGGGGTCAAGCTCTTGGCCCAACATTCTGGTCTAACTGCCTGCAGGCCCTCAAAGGTAGGCCACATAAATTTCTGCAGTGCTTTTTTATTGTTATAATAACGGAATCATGTAGCCGAGAGAGTCAAGACGGGCCCACTTGAGTTTCCTCCTCACCTGCTCCTCTTTTTCAGGGCTGATGCTTCCATCTTTTCCAAGCCCATCCCACTTCCTGCCTCCTTCAACTGCCCCAAGGTGGCGGGGGCACTGGCAGTGCCCATGAGACAGTCATACCTTAAAGCAGGGGTAGGCAACCTTGGCTCTTTTATGACTCGTGGACTTCAACTCCCAGAATTCCTGAGCCAGCATGAGGAACTGTGGCCCCTTTATGATTGTGGACTTCAACTCCCAGAATTCCTGAGCCAACATGGCTCAGCTTGGAAACCTCTTCCTTTCCCCTCAGCATGGCTGGCTCAGGAATTCTGGGAGTTGAAGTCCACGAGTCATAAAAGAGCCGAGGTTGCCTACCCCTGCCTTAAAGGGACATGTCAGGGAAGGCCTATCGCTGGAACGATGGAGAGGAAGTCAAGAAGAAAGCCAGCTCACCTTCACTCCAGGATCCCGGCTGGTCCCAAAATGGGCCACAATGAGGTCCACGGACACATTGATTGCTTTGACAAGACCTGGTGGGCAGAAGAAGTAAGGAGGCTGAGCTTGCCCATCAGCCGAGCAGACCCCTTGGCCCCTCCTTCCTGTCTAGGGCTCTGGGGGGCCTGGTCTGGCCACAGACATTTGGGGGGGGCTTTTCTGTGTCAAATGAACCTTACTCTCCCTCCCTCTCAAGCCATAAGGGGGAGGGGGCTGAAAGCAGAGCAGTTGAGGGAGCACCTCTGATACCCACTGCTTGATGCAGGGCAAAAGCCTGCAACCACTCCTTGTCCGCCCCACACATGAACACGCTCTCCACGCCTAACAGCCACATGTTTTAACTAGGGATGTATTTGGGGGAGTTTAAATGTTGAAACAGATGGAGGGGGGGGGTCAGAGCCTCCTCTCCTGGCTATACTGGATTTCTTCCCTGCCCAAAGGATCCGTCCTCCCCCACCCCAAGTCCCTTCAAAAGACGGCTCTGCTCCAGGCAATGATTGCAGCCCCCCCCTGAGCAATTGCAGCCTCTGGCCCTGAGCGAGCGTCCAGGGGAGCCCAGCTCCAGGGCTCCCGTTGAGAGATGGCACGGCCTCATTCTCTGCAAGCGGAGCTGGGCCTTTCTCACTGCCGTCCATCCTCTACCTCAGGGTTGTCAAACTCAATTTCATTGAGGGCCGCATCAGCATTGCGGTTGCCCTCGGGGAGGAGCGGGTGGGTGTGGCCTACTGGGTGGGCGTGGATGGAGTGGGTGTGGCCTACTGGGTAAGCGTGGCCAGCTCTACATCGTTCCCGTCAAGGGTGCCTGTGGGGGCCTGGGCAGCAGTGGGACAGATCTGGGGGTCTCTGGCAGAAGGGGGTGGGACCGGGGCAAGCGCCAAGGCATGGTGCATTTCTTCATTCCTCACAAAGGGTGACACCTCCCCAGCATGCACCCAGGGGGTGGGGCCGACGCAGCAGGGGCTGGTTCCTCGCTGTTTCTAGACAGCCTTGAGGAGCTAAGACTGAATGCGTTTCAGCATAGATGGCCACCACAAAATTGTACATTGGCTCCCGGCCGGCCTGGGCCAGGACCAAGGCAGTGGGGGTCGTTCCCTCACTGTTTCCAGGATGGCTTCGCGGGCCACATGAAACTACTTCGCGGGCTGCATCCGGCCCCCGGGCCTTGTGTTTGACATGTTTGCTCTACCTCCACAAGCAGCATCTGTTGAGGAGGCCCCCACCCCCAGGAAATAGCACCCCTAGCTCATATGGAAGATATCATGGAATGGTGCAAGGGCCCAGGGCCCCCTTCCCTTCTCATTCCCCACCCCATCCCAGGCTGACCCTTCTTCTGCAACAGATCGATGGAGACAGACTCGGCGTTGCTGTCCGGGGACAGGCAAAACTCAGCTGGTGGTTTTTCGGCCAATGAGAAATAGTCGGGGAAGAAGTCGGGGCAGCTGTGCTGTGGCTGTTTCACTGCCGGCCCTGCAAGACACACGGGGGGGGGGGGGAGACGTCATGACCATCCTATTACTTTATTGGGCTCTGAGGCTGCCCGACTCCAAACAGTCTCTGGGCGGCTTAGAGCATTGAAAGAAATAGGCAGCTTAAAGAAACATGGATGCCTGGACAAATATATGACATAAATCACATCCACGATATCTCTGACCCCACAGAAACTCCGCCCCAAGGGAAATAAGCAATGGGTGGCAGGAGACACTGCAGCCCCCCCTTCCAGGGAGCCGCAAGTCAAGTTCACAGCCCCCGTGGCCCCCTTTCCTTGGGCTGACCAACCGACCAGCCAAGGGGAGCCGAGAAGGGGAGCCTGCGTTGGCCAAGGCGCACCGTGGAGTCTGGATCCAGGGCGGCCAGCCGGCATCTCCAGCAGGGGGTTTCTCCAGGGCAGCTTGCTCTCCGGCTGCTTCCAGTCCAGGTGGCCAGTCAGCCCTGCCAGGTCCGAAACGCGGTCCAGCCCCAAGGGGTTCCTCCGCCGGTACTCCCGCCACTTCAGGGCTTGCAGAGAGAGATGGTTGGCTATGGCCGCAGCAGGCCAGTCGGGGCGGGGGAGGGAAAGCCGAAGCCGAGGAGGAGACAGAGACAAAGGGGCAGACTGAGCAGCAACTCAGCAGAAGCAGCATTAGAGCCCGGGAGACACTCCCCTCACCCCCTATGCAGGGGAGCAACTTGGCCAGTGCATCATCATAGAGGTCAGAAGGGGGGGTGGAGGAGGCCCTGAGGTCAGACTGCCTGGCTGCCCAACAGAGGCCTTTCACCCCCCTCCCCCACTTTGTCTCGGGTCAAAGGGCGATTCAGGTGACAAATGGACCATCACACAGAACCAGGCCCATCTGCATTATTTACCCATAGGACACACATACATTCCAGGCATGCAAAGTTAAACCTTTCCCGGCTAATGCCCACCTACCATTGAGAGGCCGAGGGACGCCAACACCCAAGGAGCTGAAGCTGGCAGCCTCACTGCACTCTATCTTCCATTGGGGTTCACTGTGGCTCTCTGTTCTGGCCAGGCTCCAGCCACCGGATAACAACGGCAAGAGGGAGCCACCGGGGAGCCGGTCCTTGGCCAGTGGTGCAGGGGGGCCTGGGGGTTCCTCCTTCTTGGCCACTGGTGAGGAGCTCTCACTCTGCTTGTGCAGGACACCAGCCCCGGCACCCCTCTGGGTGGCACAGCTGCCAGCATCTGGGGAAGCTTTGGTGCTAGGCAGGAGATTGGCAGAGACGGGGCAGGACTTGCTGCGGGGGGGCTGCGTCTCTGGGGTGGGCGAGCAGGAGGACTCCCCGCTTTGGAAGAAAGGCACGTTGTTGCGCACCGGAGAGTAACTGCCCAGCGGGGAAAGGCGGGTGGTCTCCGGCCCCGGCCCTCTCTTGGCATGGCCGTCGCCCAAAGAAGCCGCCCCATCAGCAGAACGCTGGCCTTGCCCCACAGGCCCCTCGGTGGAGGTGGAGGACTGGGAAGCAGAGGAGAGGGGTCGGCTGGCTGAGCGAGTGGCGGTGGTGGCCGAGAGGCCGTAGAGCTGGGAGAGGCTGGAGGCCAAATGGCTGTGCAGGGCCCGGCCCTTCGCCGTCTTGGGAAAGTGGTGCTGGAAGACGAAGGGCTGGATGGGCAACGTGGTGGGGCGCTGGTCCTTGCTGTAGCGCACCACTTTGCCATCCGCTGCGCCACCTGCAGAAGGGAAGGAGGGCAGAGGTTGCACAGCTGGCCTGCACTGCTGAGCCCAGTTCTCTGCACTGCTTGACCTGATGGAGGGGCTGGCGTTCTTGGAGGGTGGGGGCACCGGAGAAAAGGCAGCCCCTGACACACACCCCAGAGCAGCAGGTTATGTACTCCTTAAGGCAGGGGTAGGCAACCTTGGTTCTTTTATGACTGGTGGACTTCAATTCCCAGAGTTCCTGAGCCACCATGGCTCAACTTGGAAACCTCTCCCTTTCCCCTCAGCACGGCTGGCTCAGGAATTCTGGGAGTTGAAGTCCACAAGTCATAAAAGAACCAAGGTTGCCTACCCCTGCCTCTCCCCCAGACCCTGCCAGGTAGGCAGACCACTGGCTGATTATTCCCCATCATGGCCAAGTTGGGGCAACTCACTTAGCCAGCTCAGCTGAAGGTCTGGCCACTGCCTTACCTAGCAGGCCAAGCCAGGGGGGTGGGGCTGAGGTGAGAGATTTAACACTGGCTTAGCATGTGCCCAAACCAGCCCACTTGCTGAGTTTTGATTCAGAAGGAAAGTTCAGGCTCAGGGGGGGGGGGTCCCTCAAAGTCTCCTTTTGGTGTTTTTCAAGCCTGGGCAGGGCCATCCCCTCCATCTCTGGTCCTAGAGAGGCTTGTCCACTGTCCATCTGTCCCCCTCTCTTGCGTCAGGAGGACGTGGGGAGGCGTCCTCAGCAAACAGGGTGCCAAGGTGCCTTCCGCTGCCACAAGTCGAGCAGGTTGTCAAGAGAAGCCATGGTCTCCGAGCCCCTTCCATCCCCTGCCCTTCCCCCACCTCTTCCTAGTTCCCAGGCCTAGGCTGTGTGTTAGAGTTGCATTTCCTAATTGGAGATCTCTACATTTGCCCTGTTGTCTTTCAGCATTTTAGTTCACTTCTCCAACTTAATAAAACTGGCCTGAGTTTTTCCTTCCGCGGTCCACGGTGTCAGTTTTTACATCCAAATTCAATTTTTCTGAACTGCCCCATCATCTCTTTCAAAATTTAGACTCGTGCTTTTTTCTAATTTTTGATCCTGTTCCTAAGACAGGAAACCTTCAGAGGCTTCCTGCCCACACGATGATTCCAGTCCCTCCCCAGGGCTGTAGAGCATCTCTTTGCCCAGTCAGTCTTTGGGACAACCAGTAGTCATAGCTGTGGCTTCAGGGACTCACTGTGTTGCCCACAAAGCTCACAACAGCTGTCTACACTTCCCTCGTCCCATCCTGCCTCTATAGGTCCTAGGCAGACATAAAGGGCTGATGGCCGAGCAGGAGCTGGATTGTAAACGTCGGGAAAGTGCTGCAGCCGGGCTGGGCTTGGAGACCGAGTGAGCCCTGGCTATCTTCTTCAGACTTGTCTCAACACATCAAAGAAGGTGCATCAGGCAGTTCAGGAGCCCTCCGCCAGGGTGGGATGATGGCTGGTGGGTGGAGTGGGATATACTGAGCCTCAATTCCCTGCAAGTAGGAAGCAGTTTTCCTGTCTGACTGAACCAGCCACAATAAAGTGCTGTGGACAGCCACCCTCCTCAGAATCTAGAACAGTGATGGTGAACCTAGGATACGTGTATCACAGGTGACACACCATGGCATTTTTGGTGACATGCCCGGCGTCTGGACCCTCTGGAGGTCATACGAGAAGGTCCTGCTCTCGTGCAGCCTCTGAGGCATCCAACAATCGTGCAACTGTTTTCGTGCAACTTTCTGACGGTCCCGAGGCCCCGTGGCAGCAGGGCCCTCTTGGGAGGCTTCAGAGGGTCCAGAGGAGAGGGGCATCCGGAGAGGCCTTTTTTGTCCAAGGTGGGCGGGATGACTCACCAGCAGAGTCACGGTAGGCATTCTCTCAATTTTGGACACTCCGAGTCCACATGGTTCACCTTCATTGATCTAAAATCCATCTAACCTTCTCAACCTGCCCGGCTTGGTGGCTCTCGCTGCAACGCCTGGTGGCTGAGGATGGGCCCTGGCCAGGACATCTGGTCATCCATCCCTGCAGCAACTTCCGTGCTCTTCCCTGCCAATAAGACATGGGGGTATCTCTGGGCCCCGTCCTAATATGGATTTGGGGACAATTTATTAATGGAAAGGGGCTTCTCCTGATCCAAACCCCACTCATTCTCCCTCAACCAGCTGTGAAAGAGGCCACAGTGCGTTCATCTGCAGTGGGGAGGGGACCGGGAAGGGGGGCTTACCATCAGCTCGGGCTCGAATGTCCTTCTGGCCAAAAATGCTGCTGCCAACAGCTCCCGTCTCTGACACTGCGGAGAAAAAGAGCTGTTCGCCCCCCTCCTGCCCAGAGGTGGGCACCTCCCTGGAGCCTTTTCTGGCATTTTCACCTTCAGAGCATGCCAACGGCAGGGGCGGGAGGCTCTGGCTGTGCCGCTCCTGACTCTCTAGAAAGACGGAGCTGTCCCTCTGGCCCTCGGGGATGGATGAGAACTCCAGGGATGAGTCCCGGCTGGTCCGAATGGGTGGTGAGGAGCCATTCTTCTTCCGGCCCTTGGCCAGCTCTGCAAAGGAGGTAACGCGCTTGGGAGGGGAGCTCTGGAGGGTCAAGGAGGGGCTGTCGCTCAGCTTGACCGGACAGCTCAGCATGCGCTCCAGGGAGCCCAGACGGGTGGAGGGGCTGCGGTCCAGGTGGCGATCATAGCTTCGTGAGCGCTGCCTGCCTCCGACAAGGCTGGGTGGGGAGACATTGATGTAGACCTGTCCTTCGATGGCGTTCTTCTCCGACTCCTCCTGTGACTCATCCCGGGACTCCTCCGTGTCGCTCTCCCCGGGTCTCTGGAAGAGGTAATACTCGGTGGGTTGGAGGGGGCTCCCCCTGGCCTGCTCCTCGGAGCAGCTGGTGATGGAGGAGCCAGGAGGGCTGGGGGAAGATTGGGAGGACAAGTCGCACGTCACCAGCTTGTAGTAGTTCTGGGTGGCCACCACAAGCCGTGCCTGGCTTTGGAAGCACGCAGTCAGGTCAGAGCCATCGGATGGGCACGGATCGCAGAGTGGTGGGTAGGAGTTGCAGTTGGCATCCAGGACTGGAGAAGAGGGATGGTGGCACCCGCAGGCCTTCCCTGGCCCCTCCAGATCCTGCAGCTCTCCAGGCATCTTCGACTCCTGCGATGAGGAGTGCAGGTCAAGGTAAAAAGCGGCCATGTCTGACTGGCTGCCCGAAGAGGAGTCACAGGACAAGGGACCCGAGTTCAGGTTGGTGTGAGGGTGACCATTCCGCCTCTGGTAGAGGGTGCTGAAGTTGACCAGGACACCATCGGAACTGTTGCAGGAGGAGTCACTGATGTAGCCCATCTGCTGGTCCAGGGGCTCCGACTGGCTCGAGAGGCTGTAGCACCGGCAGCGCTGCAGTTCAGAGTTGGAGCAGCTACATGTCCGGCTGCGGATGGCCTCCGGGTTGTTCATCAGGTCGTCCGACTCGCTAGCCCACTCCTGCTCCAGGGAGAGGCTGGAGGGGTCCCCACGGTGGCAGCTGTACTCGTCCAGCTCCATGCATTCTGTTGCCAAGTGGCCCTTGTCCTGTGTCTCGTCGTCGGCCGGTAGGTCAGCGTGGCCTTCCACCACGTCCACCCGGTGGCTGCCACACCAGGGCCTCACCACAGGGCTACTGCCATGCAGATGGAAGGGAGGCAGTGCCGGCTCATGCAGGCGGAAGGCAGACCGGCCAACATGCAGGTGGAAGGACTTCTGCCCTGGGTCATCCTCGCAGAGATCCCAGGCCTCGTCTCTCAGCAGGAAGGGATTCTGCCGCTGAGGGGCTGCGGGGGCAGCCAGCATGGGGGAAGGGCTCTGCCCACCCACTGGCCCCTCTTCTGGAGCCTCGTCTGACGCCCTGAGGAGACGGTTGTAGACCAGCGAGTCTGCCTGCAGGAGGGTCCTCTCAGGGAGCGAACTGGTCCGCCCGACCCCCAGGTCAGAGGGAAAGAAAGGATTGGTCCGCTGGCTGGTGCTGCTGCACTGCCGGTCCGGGACCTGACAATGTACCAGGGGAATATGGTGAACTATCAGCGTTTCTCCTGTCAGTTTGGGGGGGCTATCCATCCTCGGTCCCATTCGCCAGGGCACCTGCGGCATTGAAGCTACCCATGGAAGGGCCTTGGGGGACAGAGCGGGCTATCAGAAGACACCTCCTCAAGGCAGCCCAAGACCTGGCAGAGACAAAAATGACAGAGTTACCGAGGACAAAGTCAGCTTTCAGCAGCTCTCCCACCCCCAGCCATATCTCAGAGAACACCTCAGCAGCCCCTTCCCAGGACTTTACAAAGGAATCTCCCACCAGGGGAGCAACGGGGCAATTGTTCTGCAGGTGCGTCTTTGCACACAGGAGCCTCACCAAACAGCATAGGCAGCTCCCCCCACCTCCCCAGCTTTCCTGGTGCCTCCCTTTCGCACAGGGGTGGGGTGGGGGTCTCAAAGTCTCTTCTGGTGACTCTGGCTTACGACCTGGCTCAGGATCAGGTGTGGTCTTTGGGACCAGCAGCTCCGTCTATGCTCTCATGGGTTAGGCAGCAACCCAATCATAGCCCAGCAAGGAAGAGATTGATGTGCAATCTGATGTGGTTGCACGCTTGGCATTCTCACAGGAGAGAGCACAATGTGGGTGTTTCTGTTACACTCGGTAATGCTAAAGCGAAGGGAGGTGGAAGCCCTCAGAGAAGATAAAATGTACTTGTGGGACTCTTTGCCACTGGAAGAGCCAATACTTCCCTCTTGAAACCCTTCAAGAGAGTCTCAGAGAGGCCAGCGATCCACAGCAACCAAGGGGTCTACTTTCTGGGGGAGGAGGGTCAAGCAGAGGGCTTTGCTTTTGGCTTCCTGCTCCATCTGTGGTCTTCTCAGAAGACCAGTTAGAAAGGGGTTGCTGGAGTGAAGATCAAAGGCCAGATCCGGGAAGAAGACCCCATCTTGCTCTGTCCCCACAGCTTCCGTCATTTTGAACTTCATCCCCCTCCCATGGACCAAATGGACAACTCTGAGTTGTACTGACAGGGTTGTACAGAAGTTGTCGAGGGAGGCAGTGTGGTGTGGTGGTGAATTCACCCAGCAGGAACCCAGGAGAGTTCTTGTCCCGCCTGAGGCCCAAAGCCAGCTTGGGCCAGTCACTCTCTCTCAGCCCTGGAAAGCAGGCAAGGGCAAACCCCTTCTGAAATCATGCCCCCAAAATGGCACAGAACCTTTACAACAACAACGTTCTTTGTGTGTTGCGCCCAGGGTGGATCTCAAGGATCAAGCAGAAAGTGCCCAATGTCACTCGATGGTGGCATTGGAGGCATGTAAACTTATAAATAAGGGCGAAGGTTCATTCTCCGAGCTTGTGGGATGGTTTCTGAACGTTTCATTACCAGGTGAGGTAACATCTTCAGCAGAGTTTAGGGCAACGGTGGGCAACCTTGGCTCTTTTATGACTCAAGGACTTCAACTCCCAGAATTCCTGAGCCAGCATGGCTCAGCTTGGAAACCTCTCCCTTTCCCCTCAGCATGGCTGGCTCAGGAATTCTGGGAGTTGAAGTCCACCAGTCATAAAAGAGCCAAGGTTGCCTACCCCTGGTTTAGGGGATGTCAGTGTTTTTCCGTTTATAAGGGCTTCAGGTGTGGGTGTGTCGAGTGAGGGTCTGTGATATCTTGTGATGGGTCAGGTTGAGTCACTTATAAATAAACATAACAAATAAAAAAAACAAGGCCGAAGGCTTTTCCAGGCCTTCCCATAGCGGCTGCCAGATTTCCTGGCACGAGCTCTGAAAGAAGCAACGTGCTTCGACTTAACCTGGTTTGTGTCTAATTAGGAAGGTCTGCAGGGATGGTCCACGAAGGCAAGATGGCGGCCACGATGATGCAATCAAAATTCCCCCTGGTTTGGGGGCATGTTGATGAAAAAACGGGCAGAGCCTTGACAGCACCTGCATTTTGCCTTTTTGGACCGTAGCTACCTCTGGATCTGATCACGTAGACTTTGTCGTGCTGAAGCTATGAGCTTTTTTGTCCTGTCCCAAACCCTGGGATTTGTTACAAGCTAAAATAAATGGGAAGACACACACTTATCCTTTCCTCAGGCTACCTGCCCTCATTTATTGGGGCTTTCGCTGAGAAAAAACAGCTGCTAAATTTTCTCTGACCAAAGTCAAGGGGCCTCTGGATCCCCTCCCCACCACCTTCCCCTGTCTTCTCAGCCCCCATCGGCTGCCCCATCTAGGGCTGTCCAGAGAAAGCCCCTATTTGCCCTGGTCACTTCCTGTCCATTTTTGGAGCTGAACAAGCTAGGCCATGTCTGAAAGCCTTTCAGGCCGAGGGCGCTGAGCTCAGAAAGAGGAAATTCTTTAGGAAGCAGAGCAACTGGGGAGGGAAAGGGGAAGAGAGAGCTCAACGGAAGAAAAGAGAATGAAATCCGAGGTATCACAACATATGTGCACACACAGTGCGCACCAAGGCAGATCAAGCCAGCCGGGGATAAGAGGGCCACACTTGCTTCCACCTAAAACCAGGACTCTTCGCCTGCCACAATCCAACTCTGCTCCTCACCAGACCATCACATACACAAACACACACACAAACACACACACACACACACACACACACACACACACACACATCTCCGCCTCCTGTTCCTCCCATTACAGGGTCCAGAGGGCTGCTACTGGGCTGCCTTGGAGCCAGTTCAGAGAAAGAGGCCAAGCTCACAGACACACACACACACACACACACACAACAAAAAAAGGCCTAAATGGAGCTCTTCCTTCCTCTGTCGAAAGCTGGACCGCCAGAGGCTCCACACTATGATTAGATCAGAGAGAGAGCAGAGCCTCTCCTCCTTCAGGCCTGGCCCTCTGGGGATGGGATTGCTTCCCTTCCCTTGTCGTCTACAACATTCCATGTTATTGTCCACAATCCGGCTCGTAGCACCCCGTGGGATGATGCCTCCCCTAAAACATCTCCACTATTTGCCAGAACAAAAATAATTCCCCTGAATTTGGCCCTTCGGCTCAAATTTTCTGCCAGAAACACCTGCCTTCAAAAATAGAGACGGCCTTTAAAAGTCTCTTTTGAGAAACAAAATGCACGTGAACGATGGAGGAGGAGAACACGCTAGTCCATGATGGCAAAAATCAACAGGAGTCTGGTAACTCCTTTTCCAACTCCCAATTTTATTAAAAAGCAGCAGCTTTAGGGAGCTCCAGTGCTCTCTGAGCTTGGCTGTTTTCTTTCTGAGTTTAATGTTGTTTCATTATCCTATTTTCTCTAGGTCAGGGCTAGGCAACCTTGGCTCTTTTATGACTCGTGGACTTCAACTCTCAGAATTCCTGAGCCACTATGGCTCAGCTTGGAAACCTCTCCCTTTCCCCTCAGCATGGCTGGCTCAGGAATTCTGGGAGTTGAAGTCCACGAGTCATAAAAGAGCCAAGGTTGCCTACCCCTGCTCTAGGGAGTAAGCAACAGCTTCATCAAGGAACCACCTAAAAGAAAATACTCCCACCAATGCTGACAGGGCAAGTCATTAGTGTATAAACCAGGGGTAGGCAACCTTGGCTCTTTTATGACTTATGGACTTCAACTCCCAGAATTCCTGAGCCAGCCAAGCTGAGGGGAAAGGGAGAGGTTTCCAAGCTGAGCCATGCTGGCTCAGGAATTCTGGGAGTTGAAGTCCACGAGTCATAAAAGAGCCAAGGTTGCCTACCCCTGGTATAAACAGAGAGCAGCCTCCCCTCCCTTCTAACTGGATGATGTTACCTAGTTGGGCCATGAAACGTCTGCAAAGAAACTACTGAGCTTAGAGAGCAGCAAGGATCCCACAACAGCTGGTATCTTCAATCAATCTGTGAGTCAGAAAAGAGGCCACCCAAATCCTGATTTTTTTCACCAGCAGGATAAGCATATTCAAACTTTTGAAAAAGGTGAGGACCATCCAGGGGTCGGGCTACAATTCCCAAATGACCGACCCCCTCCTGGATTTCAGTCTGGGAAGACAAAGTCTGCAAGAGCAGGAGGGTGATTTCTAGACACCGTCATGGAGAAAAGCTGTGCGGCTTTTGTGACTCGGCCACAACGTGATGGCCCCTAATCAACAAAGCCCCTCCGCCGCCCTGGGTAATGACGGCTACGCCTGCCATCCTGGCTGGGAGCAGATATGGTGACCGCCCCCTCCCATGTCTTCCCAGAATGCCTCTGGCCAGCTTGCAGGTCCGATGCCCCAGACTGGCCTGACCTACAGCGTCCTTAGTGGACTTCCTTTGCAGAGGGGAACCGGTGGGGATGGATTTCAGAAGCTGGCCCAAAGACCAGGAAAACACCAGGGAGCTACTGGGATGCCCCGTCTTTGGGGCAGCCCAAAGGCCAAGCAAGGGGGCAGAGTTCTGTCATGGCCAGAGCTTAAGAAAGCTCCAACCCTCAAGGGGCACAGATGGGGGACTCACAGGCCCTGGCCCACAAGTACCAAAGAAGAGACCAGAGAGAGGGAGGGAGCTGTCAATTCCTGTGTCATCCCCGTCAAACCCATCTTTAATGACAGCTGTCCCACTCCTGGCTGCCTACATAAGGGTCTTTTCAATGATGGTGAGGAAACAGCCCTGGGCCTTCCCATCTCTGGCCTGGAAAAGGCCAGGAAACCCCATGGAAAAGCCACGGCTGCCCTGGGGCTAGGAGGACTGGGCCCCTTCCTTCCTTCCTTCCTTTCCTTCCTTCCTTCCTTCCTTCCTCAAGAAAAGGGAAGACCGACTTCCGGTGGGACGGCGCGCCGATGGCGGCTCTTTTCGGAGCCGTCCGCTTGGGAAGGCGTCAGAGCCAGCATGAACAGCGGTCAGCAGCTGTTCAGCGGCTTGGAACCTTGTGCCCCGGGAGAAGGGGTCGAGGTGAGTATTCCTGGATAGGAGTAGAGTCCCAAAGGCTCTCCCTTTATCTCGGGAGAGCGAAATTGGGTACTCCTCCGGAGTCCGGGAAATCTCCGTCTCCCAAGTGCCTTTGTTCCCTTTGTTTTTGGGAACAAAGCCAGTCGTTGCCTCCACTTCTGTGAATTACAGAGAACTGTGAGTAAATAATAACCAGATGGAACT